GTCAATTATATCATTAGGATCTTATGTACTATTATGGTTTTTCACACCAGAGAAACTATTCGGTATTTACACATGTGTAACTTATTTATTTCACTTAGGAGTATATCCTCAGTATGTATCCATTTTCCTATGAATGAATCTAATTTCTTATTCTTTATTGCTGAGTAGTTTTCCATTTTGTAAAAAAACCACATCTTCTTTATCCAATTTCCAATTGATGGGCAAATGGGCTGTTTCCATGTTTTAGCTATTACAAACTGTGCCGCTATAAACATAGGTGTGCATATATCACTGTGGTTTGATTCTTTTAACTCTTTTGGAAAGATACCCAGCAGAAGGATGGCTGGGTCAAATGGAACCTCTAGCACCAGCTCTTTGAGGTATCTCCATATTGATTTCCATAGTTGTCACACCAGTCTGCACTTCCAACAACAATGGAGAAGGGTTCCTTTCTCCCCACAACCCCACCAACATTTGTTATTGGTTGATTTCTTGATAGCAGCTATTCTTTGTGGGGTGAGGTGGAATCTCAGTGTTGTTTTCATCTGCATTTCTCGAATGACCAGTGATGTGGAACATTTTTTCATATATTTACTTGCTGCTTTTACTTCTTTGTCTGAGAAATGTCTGTTCATTTCAGATGCCCATTTTTGAATCCGTTCTTTATATTTGGGGGGGCTGATTGTTTTGAGTTCTTTATATATTCTAGATAATAGTCCTTTGTCTGAGGAGCAGCTGGTAAAAAGTCTTTCACACATTGTAGGTTGTCTCTTAGTTCTGTTGATGGTTTCTTTTGCAGTGCAGAAGCTTTGTAATAAGATGAGATCCCAGTTGTTGATTCTATCTGCTAGTGCCCATGCTACTGAGGTTTTGTTCATAAAGTCTTTTCCTATGCCAGTGTATTCAAGAGTTCTGTCTAATTTATCTTCCAGCAAGTTCAGTGTTTCTGTTTTAATATTTAGATCTTTAATCCATTTTGATTTTAATTTAGTACAAGATGAAAGATAAGGGTCTAGTTTTAATCTTCGGCAGATTGAGATCCAGTTTTTCCAACACCACTTATTAAAGAGGCTATCTTTCCTCCAGTGGGGATGGTCAGCTCTTTTGTCAAAGATGAGGTATCTGAATACATTTGGAGTTGTTTTTGTGTCTTCCAGTCTGTTCCACTGATCTTCAGGTCTGTTTCTTTGCCAGTACCATGCTGTTTTTATCACAGTGGCTTTGTAGTATAGTTTTAAATTATGAAATGTTATACCCACTGCCATGTCTCTGTTGCCTGGGATGGTTTTTGCTATTCTAGGTCTCTTCTGGTTCCGAATGAAATTTTGGAACATTTCAAAATTTATTTTTGTAGCCCAGCATTAGCCTGATACCAAAGCCAGACAAAGACACTACAGAAAATGAAAATTACAGGACAGTATCCCATTTCTCTACTCACTTAGCCCTTAGAGATCTCACATGTATTTTCTGTAACTAGTTACAAGAGAGATGGAAAATAAGGTAATGATGAGGTGTAATTTCATATGAGCAGATCAAGTTTGGCAAACCTTCAAGTTTGGCAATATTAAGTGCTGATATTTGAAATTCCCTAATAAAAATAGCAATTCCAAAATTAAATGTATATTTAACTCAGCTTTTAAGTTTAATAGGGAAAATGTTTGGATTCCCAGGAAGTTCACCAGCAAATACACTGATAACTTAATGTTTTGTGTTAATACAATAGAAATTGTCATGGCACCTCCAGTACTTTTAGTTCTCTGGCCATTAGACCTTGCTCAACCTTAATACTTGTTTATTTTCCCTCACAATAACTCATGAAATTCATCAAAAAATTAAGTATTCTCTATTTGCAAAATATATTATGAATATAATCACTTCAAATCTCCAGTGTTTGCATTTAACATTAGCTAATCTCCGGCCTCTGCAGAGATGGATGTCTAGTTCTCATCTTTGTGGGTAGCATCGGTCTGGAAGTTACAAGTTCATACTATAAAATTCACCAGATAACACGAACATCCTTGGGTGAAAAATTAGTAAATAACACCTTTGGGAATCTTATTGGGAACTAATGGAATCGAACCTGCATTGTTGGCTAGTCCCCTTGCACCTGCAGGATAGATGCCTAGTTTTCAAACTTTTGTGCAGCATCAGTCTGCAACTTACAAGTTAATAAAAGAAGTCAACCAGATATCAAGATAATTATATATAGGAACATCCTTTTATGATGAATCAGAAAGTAACATACCAATGAGAAAAATATTGGTTCCCAGTAGACATCAGCCTTCAACTTATATGAAGATTAAATTCTCCTCAACTGTCCCTGTGGTTGGGATACATACTTATCTGAAATTATAATACAGTACTACAGCCTCCATAATTAATTCTACCACACTCAATGTCTACCACCAATCATACCTGACCTATATTATCTGTTTGTTTACTCATAATTCTCTTGATTAGGATACAAAAATACATTTCTGATCCTGACTACAAGAATAAATCTTTTTATTGGGACTTTATATATTAGAGGATTATAATTATTTGCTGTATTGCAGGCAGTTGAAGGGATTTGATGAGCTGAACAAGGCAAAAATACATAAGTAGAAAGTGAGAGCACACATTAGCTTCATTGGAACTGTGCTTCGAGTGATTTGCATGCAGAACTCTTCACAGAGTGAGACTACCCAAAGGCAACAGCAGAGCCACCATTCTGAGAGCAGAAAGTTTAATGGAACTCCAGGGATAGAGGAGAATCCAGAGAAAACAGAGAGGGTTCTGTCTAGGTGATGTCAGGGAGCAGCACTGTAGGGAGTCTCTGAGTCACACAGTACAAGATTAGCAGTAGTTTGTGGCCTTCTGTATATCAAGTAGAAGTGGAGAACAGTTTTAAGAAATGTAATACAGGCAGGCTCTATCTAGACAGCTAAAACACTGCTTGCTTAGCCTATGTTTAAAAAATGGGCATATGGAAGCAGTGAGTTTGGTGTTAGAGTACTTTTGAGCTAATGTGTCTCAGCCTACTAAGAAGTAAAAAACTTAGGGAGTGTTACAGTTAGGGAAATGTATAATTTACAAGGTAGGCTTACAATGGCCACCTCCAGTATCAGAGGTTGAGGAACACAAAAGGACAATCTACACTCTGGAGAGCCCAACAATTCTGTCAGGTATGGAAGTCCTGGAGCTCTCCGAAGAGCCCCTGAAAGGCCATATGAGGAAGAGGAAGGGTCTGCATTGGAAGGCTGAAGAGTCTAAGCTGGAAGGCTGAAGAGTGCACTGAAAAGGATGCAGTGGAAGCATCAAGACAGACAGACGTTCAAAGGTAATGGAGAAGACAGGCCCTCCAAAGAAACAGAAGTGAGACTTCCTCCTTCTTTACCTTTTTATTCTATCCAGACTACATATATGTTGATTTGTGCCACCTACCCAGGGTGAGTCTTCCATGTTTAGTAAATCCATCATACAGCATATCCAGACCTGTGCTAAACCAATGAACTAGATGTTTCTCATTCAAGTTGACTTGAGTAGAGTAACTATCATGAGGGGTGAGGGATACAGGCACATATAAAACATGCTGTGATGGACACAACACAAGGGCAACTAAACAAAATAAGTAAGTACATAAATTTCTCAACACCTTATATCCTACAAAACTGCTTGATGAATAAATTTATGAATAAATGAATATTCACTCATTGGTTGGGTTAATATATAATGACCAAGAAAAATTGGGAAAAAAATGGTGGCTTACATAAATTTAGCACTCACAACTTGCATATAATCTCAGTGCCAACATAGATATGCCAGTTAAAATTAATTAAACATGCTTCTTGTTTTTAATTCTAGTATATGAATTAATATCTCATTCATTATCATAAAACTGGATCTGTAATATGAAACTATTATCATGCTTTGAAACATGAGGAAATGTGTATTAAATACTATGTCCTAAAAATCATATTTACTGAGTGGCAATGTAATATAAAAGTACTTGTCCAATCCAAAAAACTACAATGTTTACTATTTGTTTTGCCCAAAAAACTACAATTGTTGGCAATAGAAACATTGCACAGCTAAATAATTACAGTATTGTAACCATAGTCTCTCCTTTGGGCACTTTTCCTGGCTGAATAATTTCCCAACCCTTTATCCAGTATTCTAAATTGTAATAAAAACAACATATAAATAACTAAGATGCTGAAGTATAATCTTATTTTCGATTCACAGAAACAACAACACCTGTTTATTTTGACTTTACATCAGAATTTCTAACACCCTTCCTTATTCTTTAGTCCTATGTGACAACTAAATGAAAGGATGTTAAATGCTATCATATTTAACTGGCAGAAAAGTAATGTTTATCTAACTGGTGGAGGAACAAATCCCAGGAAGTTATGAGAGAATTCCATGTTCACACCAGGGGTACAGAACAAAGGGGAGGGGACTTTCTGGAAGGAAGAGAACTAGCCCACTATGCAGTCTTCTCGTCCATTTCACCTACACATCTTTCTTTCCTTTTACAAATCATGTCACATACCTGTGTTCCCTAAGCAGGTCTTTCCTCACACATACAATAGCTCCCTCATCTTCTTAAACACCAAGTCCTTTAATAAAAATAATGTACTTTCCACAACTCTGTTCTCCTGAGAATTGGCTCTGCAGGATCCAGCAAATGGGCTTCAGGTCCATTAACAGCATTCTAACTCCAAAGGAGATTTCACCCTCCAGAAACTTTTACAATCTTACCTTTCCAATAAGCACTGACTAGCTTGTTGAATAAATACGTAATTTTAAAACAATAAGTTACATATGAAACACTTTAACTCTCCTTGTAGGAAGAGGACCAAAATCAAAGAAAAAAATCATAAGTTAATAATTTTTAAGACCAAGTTAAATTAAATAGGAAATAAATTGGTTAGGATGAGATGGGTTAATACTGATAGAATATCACTTGTCGGGGAGGCTTGATGAAATGAAATGGGAACTATAAAAGAAACACATGTGAAGCTTCAAGTTCATCTTTCGGGATTTGAAAAAGGCAACAGTATGCAAGTCTCAAGGACCATAGGATACTTCCATGGAAACATTTTCTTATTTAGTGCTATAATAGGGGGAGGAATATTTATATCTCCTAAGGGGGTATTAAAATACTCTGCACTGAACATTCCTGTCTCCCTGAGTATATGGGTAACATGTGCCATACTGAATATGATCAATGCTCTCTGTGTTGCAGAGTTAGGGACCACCTTCCCTAGAAGTGCAGCACCATATTTTTTCATGAAAAGATCTCTTGGATCTTATACTGCTTTCCTGAATCTTTGGGTGGAACTTTTTGGTCTTTTCATAGGACTGGCTGCACAAAGCTTGTTGGTAGCTAGCTATCTAATTCAGCCTTTGTATGCTCTCTGCCCACCCCCAGAGCTACCAAAGAAATGCCTAGCTTTGGCCATTTTGCGGTCTTTGGGACTTCTGAATATTCAGGGGTTGAAAACAGTGACCTGGTTTCAAACTCTCAGTACTTTGGTGAAGGTGGCTATTCTCTGTTTCATTTCCATAACTGGGATTGTGCTGTTAGTGATTGGGAAAAAGGAGAACGTGTCCAGGTTTGAGAATGCTCTAGATGCTGAACTTCCTGGTGCCTCACAAATTGTGGAAGCCATTCTCCAAGGATTCTATGCCTATGGGGGATCCACACTCCTGGTCAACATGGCAGGTAAACCTATTTCTGAAAACATTATGTAGCATTCATACAGCTTTATCTAGAATAGTTAAGGATAAATCTGATTTACTTGTTTTGTGAAGTAAAATTTAATGCACTCTATACCACATGAACATTTATATGTAATCATATTAACTATGTAGAATATAATGTTCTAGAGGTAATTCCACCATATGAAACCTGGACATTAAAATTTTTTTTCAATGATTTTATTGCATTTGCTTTTAGCATTTTGAGTTAAGATTTTTTTATATATTAAGTTTATTGGTATATTTGTGATCACAATCATAATTGGAAATTTGTATCTGTACATGATATACCTTGGTTCTTATTTTTTCCCAATCCCCTTCCCTCCCTCCAACCTCTCCACTCTTCCCTATTTACAAAAGCTTTTTTTTCCATTTTTCCTTTCTTCTTTCTCTTTCTTCATTTCTCTCAACTTTCATTCCTACTTCCCCTTCCCTTTTGAACATTTTCTTCCTACTTCACAATATCTATCATTAACTTTGGTCCACTTTTATGCTTTCAATTTCTCACACCACAGAAACAATTTGGTATTTGCATGTGTGTTCTATTTATTTCATTTAAGAGTAAGGCTTCAAGGTATATCCATTTTGCTATAAATGCCTCTAGTTTATCTTTTGTTATGGCTTAGTAACATTCCATTTTATATATTTTTAAAAATCTTCTTTACCCAATCAGCAGTTGATGGACATTTGGGCTGCTTCCAAGATTCAGCTACTGCAAATTCTTCTACTATAAACATGAGTGCACATATATCAGTATGGTATGATGCTTTCAATTCTTTTGGGAAGATACCCAGTAGGGGAATAGCTGGGTCAAATGGGACCTGTAATCCTAGATTTTTGAGGAATCCATATATTAATTTCCATATTAGCTGCACCAGTCTACACTCCCACCAACAGTGGAAAAGGGTTTCTTCTTCACCCACATCCCTGATAGCATTTGTTATTGGTTGATTTCTTTATACCAGCCATTATTTCTAGAGTGCGATAGAACCTCCATGTTGTTTTAATTTGTATCTCTTGAATGGCCAGTGATGTTGAACATTTTTTCGTATGTTTATTTGCTGCTGCTATTGCTTCATCTGAAAAATATCTATTCATTTCAGATGCCCAATTTTGGATCGGGTCTTTAAATTTGCAGGGACATCTGATTTTTAAAAATTCTTTATATATTCTAGATAGTAGTCCTTTGTCTGAGGTACGTTTCCCACATCGTGGGTTATCTCTTCAGTTTGTTGGTAGTTTCTCTTGCTGTGCAAAAGCCTTTTAATAAGATGAGATCCCAGTTGTTGATTCTTTGTACTAGTTCTTGTGCAATTGAGGTTTTGTTGATAAAGTTTTTTCCTATGCTAGTGTTTTCAAGAGTTCCACATAACCTTTCTTCCAGCAGGTTTGGTGTTTCTGTTTTAATATGTAGATCTTTAATCCATTTCAATTTTAGCTTAGTGCATGGTGAGAGATATGGATCTAGTTTTAATCTTTGGCAAGCTGAAATTCAGTTTTCCCAACACCATTTATTAAAGAGGCTATCTTTTCCTCAGTAAGGCTTTTGGCTCCTTTATCAAAAATTAGGTATCTGAATATGTCTGGAGTTGTTTATGTGTCTTCTAATCTGTTCCATTGATTTTTCAGGTCTGTTTCTTTGCCAGGACCATGCCATTTTTATCACAGTAGCTTTGTAGTATTATTTCCATTTGGGGTTGTGATATTCCCTCCCTTGTCTTTGTTGCCTAGAATTGCTTTTGTTATTTCAGGTATCTTCTGTTTCCAAATGGATTTTTTATTTTTTTTCTCTATCTCTGTGAAATATGCTGTTAGAATTTCAATTTAAATTGCATTGAATCTATATAGCAGTTTTGGAAGTATGGCTATTTTCACTACATTCGTTCTTCCTACCCAAAAACAAGTGATATCTTTCCATTTGCTGATATCCTCTTCAATCTGTTTTATCAGTGTACTGTAGTTTTCAAATTAGAGGTCTTTTACTTCACTAGATTGATTCCTAGGGGAGTTTTTTTTTGGGGGGTGCTCTTGTGAAAGGAATTGTCGCCCAATTCCTCTCCCAGTGATTCTGCTATTTTTTTACAGGAAGGCTACTGATTCTTGAGTGTAGACTTTGTATCAGCTACTCTACTGAATTTGGTTATCGAGTCTAACCAAGTCTTTTGGTTATCGAGTCTATGAAGTCTTTTGGTGGAGTTTTTGGAGTCTTCTATATAGAGTATCACGTCATCTGCAAATAATGACAATTTACCTTCTTTGTTTCCTGTCTTTATTCCTTTTATTTCTTTCACTGGCTAATAGCTGTGCCTAATGTTTCCAAAACTGTATGAACAGTTGTGATGATAGTGGGCATCCTTGTCTTGTTTCTGATTTTCGCGTAAAGGACTTCAGTTTTTGACCATGTAGTATGATATTAGCTATTGTTTTTCATACATGGCTTTTATCAGGGTGAGATTAAGACCACTTACTCCAATTTTCTGTAGGGGTTTTATCATGAATCAGTACTGCATTTTGTTGAGTGCCTTTCTGCATCTATTGAGATGATCATAAGGTTTTTGTCCTTGACTCTATTAATTTGTGTTTTACACTTATTGATTTGCATATGGTGAACTATCCCTGCATCCCTGGGGTGAATCCCATTTCATTAGGATGTATGATCTTCTTAATGACCTTCTGCATTATGTTTGCCACTATCTTATTGAGGATTTTTTCATATATGTTTATTAGGGATATTGGCTGGTAGTTCTTCTTTTGGGTTGGGTATTTCTCTGCTTTCTAAATCACAGTAATGCTTGCTTCCAAGAATGGATTTGAGAGTGTTGCTTCCCTTTCAACTTAATTGAAGAGTTTGAGAAGTAGTGGCATTAGCTCTTCTCTAAATATCTTGTAAAATTTAGTAGTGAAGCTATCAGTGCCTAGGCTTTTCTTTGTTGGTTAAGTTTTTAATTAAATTTTTATTGCATTGATTGATACTGGCTTATTTAAAATTTTTATATCTTTTCGTTCAACTTTGATATTTCATTTGAATCTAGGAATCTGTTCACTGGAGTACAGCTTCTCAAAGCAGGTATTGATGATACTCTAGATTTCTCCTGGATCTGTTGTAATTTCCTAATTGAATGGATATCGGTCTTTCCTTTTGATAAGGTTGGCTAAGGTTCTTTCAAAGGACCAACACTTCAATTTGTTTATTTTTTGTATTGTTCTCTTATTCTCCGTTGCATTGATTTCCTGTTCTGATATTTATGATTTCCTCTCTTCTATGAGCTTTAGATTTGTCCTGCTCTTCTTTTTTTCTAGAAGTTTGAGGTTCAGCATTAGGTTGTTTATTTGAGTTAGCTTTGTTTTCCTAATATGGGTATTCACTACTATGAATTTTCCTCATAGAACTGCTTTCATTGTGTCCCATAAATTCCCATAAGTTATAATGGCATTATTGCTTAACTGCAGAAATGGTCTAATCTTTCCTTTAATTTCCTCTTTGACCCTTGGTTGTTCAGGAGGGTGTTATGCAATTTCCATGTGTTTATGAGGTCCTTATGGCTTCTTTTGCTATTGATCTCAATTTCATTACACTATAATCTGACAATATACAGGGGATAACTTCAATTCCTTTGCCTTTACATCAGCATGTTCTATGAGCTAGCTTATGGTTTATTTTGAAGAATGACCAATGTGCAGCTGACAAGAATGCATATTCTGATTTTCTACACTTCGTAGACATTTATTATGTCCTCTTGCTCAACAGTTTGGTTTAGCTCTAGTATTTTGTTGCTGATTTTTTTTGTCTGGTTGACCTGTTTATTTACGACAGTGGGGTGTTGAGGTCCCCCACTACTATTGTATTAGTGGTTGATTTTTCATGTCTGTTAATATTTGCTGTATATAGTTAGGTGCACATATATTCATGATTGTCATCTCTTTTTGGATTGTTCCTATTACAAGGAGGTAATGACCTTCTTTGTCTCTCTTAATTAGTCTTCTTTTGAAATCTACTTTGTCTGCAAATAGATTAGCTACACCTGCTTTCTTTTGGGTTCCTGTGGCATGGAGTATTTTTTCCTTCTTTGAAATGAATTTTCAGTCTATGAATCTTTTTAACAATTCTTACATGTAGCATATAGTTGTATCTTGCTTCTTTATTCATTCTACCAGTCAGTTTCCTTTTATTGGTGATTGAGACCATTAATATTGATGGTTGTAACTGATGAGTATTGACTTATCCTTGTCACGATATTTTCTTGTTGTTGGCTCTACCCCCACCTTTTGATTTAATTTCTTATCTTTCCTGACGAACTTATTCTGTTGGAATTCATAGAGTTGTAATGCTCGTGGTCTTTTTCTAGGATATTGTTTAAAATATTTGGTGTGATAATTGGGTATTCATGATGTTCCTCAGATATTTTTTTAAAAGTATGTAGACCTTTTTTTTTTCCTCTCTCTCTCACAGTTTATTTTTGGTACATTTTAGGAATACAGTACAGTTATATTCATCATTAGGATATTGTACCTTTACATGACAGGTCTTGGTTCTCATTTTTTCCCCTTGTCCCTGCCTTCCCTTCACCCCCTCCTCCCTTCCCTATTTACAAATACTTTATTTCCATTTTTTAATTTTCTTATATTTTCCCTTATTACCTTTCCCCTAACCTACCAACTTCCCCTACACCTTTAGCACATTTCTTCCTATTGCACATTGTCAATTATACCTTTAGGATCTTATGTACCATTGTAGTTTTTCACACCAGGGAAACTATTTGGTATTTATACATGTATGACTTATTTATTTCACTTAGGGGTATATCCTTAATGTGTATCCATTTTCCAATGAATGACTCCAATTTCTCATTCTTTATGGTTGAGTAGTATTCCATTTTATAGAAAAACCACATCTTCTTTATCCAGTTTGCAACTGATGGGCAAATGGGCTGTTTCCATGTTTTAGCTATTCCAAACTATGCCACT